AACTCATCAGCGTAGGAGCAGGCTTACGTGTTATCCTGTATCTGATGTGTTGTGCACATTGGCTGATGATCAGATTAGGATGCTTTGCAAATCAATATATAATTATCATGATTACAATGAAGATTTTAGGGGATTATTTTCAAGATTAGTTTTAAAGACTGAGGCAAGATGATATTCTTGTGTTTCAGAGAATTTGCAGACAACGTAAACTTGCATATCCACCGAATTTGAAAATAGCTGCTGCTGAAAACCCTCTTCTATGCTAATGATTGAACTTCTGTATTCAGAGAAAGAATGCAGTCAGCCAGCTGCTGCCTCCTCTGTGCTACCATAAAACATCTTTGGTCAAACTTTCACAGTAAGATGTGAAGGACCTATGACAGTCTCTAGGGCTGGATGCACTGGAGAAGAGGACACTTGGTCTGGGCTGCACAAAATTATAAGCTTTCAAATGGATATTAAAAATTTCCAGTATGAGCAATATCTGGGCAGAGCTCACACTCTGCTGAATGACACAGACCTACCTGCAGTGACTATTTTCATTTGAGTTTATCACCTCTGTATAAGGAGCAAAATCTTGTCATGTTGTTTTTATTCTTTCTCACAACAGAGACTCAAATTTACAGGCTGAAGAGATGGCAAACTAACAAAAACATGCTTAGTTCTGACAAGGGCAGCTGGTCTGACTGTAAAAAAGCACACTGGAAGCAGCTTTTTGAGCTCTAACTTAAGAGTGTTAGTGAACCTTTTGGCCTAATTATTTTCCTGACACCTAGGGTGTCAAGCTGTGCCTGTTCCTCTGAAAAGGCAAACTCACATTTTAAGCTTACTTCCACTGAATATTTATGACCTATTTTTCTCCATGTACAAAGTTCAAAGTAATGAAGTAAACCTAACCTTCATCCAGCTTTGCTTTTTTTTTTCATTCCATACATTCAAGGATGAATACTTCCTCATTCCAGCCCCCTAGCTGACAAGCATTCATGACACAATTCATCTCCTATCCTGTTGAGCCCTTCCATCTAATGGTGCAAATCATAGTATTCTTTTTGATCTAGAGATCAAACAGCTTCATCCTAGATGAAGACCCAAGCAAGGTTCAGTGTGTGCATAGAGAAGAATAACTTTGATGGGGAGCAGTCCATCTCTGCAAAGTAAGGAAAAGGCATCTGAGGCCATTTGCGAGCCTGGTTTTGAAAACAAGTGATGCATGTTGACATTACTTTGATATGTACTGGTTTAAATATGGACAAAACCTCAATATTCCACTATTGCCCTCTGCAACACAGCTGGTATTCCACAGGCTGTAATACTGTAATCTGCATCAAAATCAAGTTAATATTTGATTTCTTCTAGCCCTGTAGTTAGCATACTTTTAGTCTCTGCTCAGATACCACTAGGTTAAGTGCTATAGAAACAATGTCAGTAAGGTCTTTGGAAACCTTCTAGGTGTCATATTCAGAGCAGTTCTACCTTTATTCCAATATGCCGTTTGGGTAGTCAGGACCTATCATGACCCT